AATTGCCGAAGGATATGAACTTTGTGCAGCACAACAGTCACCTGGGATGGAAGTTGTAAGAACTAAGAGCTTCTTAATTTGTCTGATTGTGTTTTAAATACCCGGCCCGTCTCGTCGTCCCGGTCCCGGCCCGGCCTGTAGGTTGCCGGTTCCGAGAACCGGCACCGTTGCTTTACGGGTTGTATCCGGGTCCTTTTTTTTGTCTTGGCGGTCCGGGACAGGCCCGGTTCCACAAACCGGCCCTTGGTTTTTGGCGGGCTGGTTAAGGGTCACCCATGGGAGGCCCGCCACCCGTTGACTGGCCATGTCTAATATGATATGATTTGATCAAAATTGAAATTTCCAGAACTTGGTAATTTTTGTGTACAGTGGATCTACTGAGTCTTGTCTTGTACTCTGTTTTGTTCCTTTTTATACTGCAAATTATTGTGTGAGTCTGACGTTAGGCAACTCGACTCATCATACTTTTTTATTGACAAAAATATAAGTATTGTTTAAAATGCAAAATACATTTTGATTTCATGTTATGTATAATTTTGTTGATAAATTATGGATATCTAACTGTTAGGAGTGAGGAACAACGGTTTCCTTTTTTTTTTAAAAAATTTGGGTTGAGCAACCCAAGAGTGTATCCCGATTATCAATTTGAGTCCCTCGATCTCCAGATAAAAGCCGTTGAAGTTTTCAGTTTTCCGACTAGTTGTCACGATTGAAAACTGAAAAGACTTCGTCAGATTATCTTTGGCGATCGAGGGACTCAGATTTACGATCCCATTACGATTGGGATATATCTTTGGATTCCCCAGGAAATTGATTTTTACATTTTTCATGAAAATCCAACGGTGGGATCTCTGGTGACTGGTGATTTTTAGGTGCATTTTAGCAAAAAACCAAATATTGAAACCTTTAAGGACGATTTTGATGAATTTCGAGGTATGATAGTAGTAACGTAAAAAGTATCGTGGATAGGTTGAGTTGATATCTTCAAATTGGTATAGAAATTGTTCAAATCCGCTACCGTTAACTAACGTTTGGACTAAAAACGATTAATTTTAAAAATTTCAGTGACCGAAATTGATTAAGTTGGAAACTCGAGTACCGAAAACTAAAAAGTGATATACTTCGGGTACCAAAAGTGATTTTTTCACCTTAACATGCAATACTTTTTTGCTTGTGGTGTTTTCTAAAGTAGGATGATAAATTAATGCTACAAGTACACTATTATGTACTTGTAGCATTACTTAAGTCTAATAACGAACAAACGTCTTATTTTTGTGCTTTTCTTTTGCCTTCTTGTTTTTGTAGTGTAGGGTATAATATTGTTCTATAAAACTAACTTAATTAGTGATTTATTAATGTATGCAGTAACAAAAGAGCAAAGCCAATCCTGATCGACCCTGGTTTGTACAGTGTAAATAAATCTCAGATTTTTTGGGTACTTAAACAAAGAGAACTGCCAACTGCTTTCAAGCTTTACACAGGTTTTGGTTTTTTCCTTCTTCTTTTTTTAAGTAAAATTATTTTTAGTACATATTCCCTTTATCCCTTGTCCTTATGTGTCTTCTTTTAGGTCATGTGCCTCATTTTTATGAAAAATGGTATAGTCTCGTTACGGAACCATTCTGTCGAGGTTTGTAACCGTTTGATCATCCACATGTTGATCTAACGGACACAAACTCCGACGGAATAATTCTGTCATGGGACGATAGAATCTCCCCATTTTTTTATATTTAAAGACATGGTAGAGTAATGCCCAAAAAGTGCAAAACTGCATATTCCACTTGTTACACATCCATTTGTCTATATGTAGCAGTATTACATTAGACTGTAAAAAACAATTATTAGATTGATCAAGATATTTAAGAAAAATTTACCATAAAGTCAAAAGGAGATCAAAAATTTGTGCCTAGTTTGGAATTGCTTGGAAGACCCTAGTCAGCTTATTAGGTTCAATCTTTTTTTTCATTATGTGCAAAATCTATATATGGAAACTAAACAATAAAGGCTTGCCACCAAATTCCAAAAAATGAAGATAAGTAACTTGTAAAAGTCAATATTAAAATCATTTTTTCATCATTAAATTACACATCAAATCAATATTTGGTGTGTTGGGGTTTGGATTAATTTAATTTTTCAACGATTAAACCGTGCATTAATTGCAAATTTTTGGTAGCTTTCAAATCTTCATTTAGAGTTTTATTATAAAAAAAAAACTATTTCATTTCAAATTTTTTTATACAATCCTAATAATATAATACAAAATGAATAATTATATTATATACTTTTGAAAAAAAAATAATAATTATTCATTCACAATTTCTAATTACTAATCTTATCAGTTAAAATTTAATTATTTTCCCTACAAGAAAAGAAAATGATGGAATTTCAACGGAAATATATTAAAGTTGAATTCTAACGGCAATTCCAATGGATATTTTTCAATGTTATTTCCATTGAAAATTTTCAATGGATTTTCGCGAAAATTCCAACAAAAATATTCTGTTGGAATAAGTTTTTTTTTTCGTTGTAATTTCCGTTGGATTTTGATAATTCTAACGGTAGATTTTCCAATGGGGGTGGAAATAAAAATTTCAACAGAAATTGCATATTCCAACAGAAATTTCTACGATAAAAAGCCGTTGATATATTGTCGTTGGAATCATCAAATTTCATCTAAAATTCCAATAAAAAACGCATTCCAATGAAATATATTCGCTGGAATTTCCATTCCAACAGAAGCTATAACACTGGAATATCTGTTGGAATTTTCATTGGAATATGTTCAGTTTGAATATAACAATTTTTTTGTAGTGTTTTATATCCATCAATCCTAATATATTTTATTATATCCATTCATTATTTTTAAAATTATTTCATTTTTTTTTTCCAAACTACAATTTCGCAATTCTCATCTAATTTGTAAAAAATCTTATATTCAATCACACCTACGAGTCATGTCATGGTAAAAATATTAAATATGTGATCTTAACTATGAAGCCCATGGAGCATAAATAAATAGTAATCAACTATCTTTGCCATTATTGCAATTTGCACCATCAGTTTATGGCAAAAATTTTTTCTATACCTCAGTTTTGTCCTTTTAAAAGTCTGGCTTGGGACAAACATTACCTACATTGATGAGTAGGCCTTTGAAGATCTATATACACAGCCTCGTGTAAATACTAAACAAACATATACCTACAATTAAATTTAGGGGTCGCAAATCGTGCTATCGTGCTGTGTTCGTGTTTCGCTATTATATTTTCGTTTCATCTATTTTATTTGAGCAGAAGCATGATAGTAAATACGATTTCGTGCCCTGCTGTGTCGTTCTTGTAATATCATTTGTCTTTATAATCGTAAGTCGTAACACATTGGGCTTTCAAACATCATAGGATTAAGGGCTTTCAAACACGCGCTCATATGCACTTATCTTGGACTATTCCTTCAAATAAGCCTAATACCATTGGGCTTGTTGGGCTGCTAATATTTTACTGTATGAATTTAAAGCCCAATATTATAGTTGACCAATCCTACACTTTAGGTATCAGCTTTCTTGAAAAATATGGCCAAATAAACTTTGTCCTATAAGTAGTGTAATCGTTTGAGATTTTGGATGACATTTTAAAACTTTTTGAGATTTGAAACTTTTTAAGATTTTTAAATTTACGAGGAATCCCGTGAATCATAAGTAGAAGTGGAATTTGGACATTAGACGGAGATTTCTTATATAGGTTTTTCTTTTAAAATCCTAGCAAATATTAAAA